GGCAGCTGCCTGGTTTCCTAAGGAAATAAGGCCCCCATAGTTTGTCCCGCAATAATGTCTGAATCTCTTGGATTATTTTAATCAAATTTCACAAAGGTATTAAGGTCTTGAACACTAATCTGACATGCAGGTTTTATGAAAACAGGCAGCTTAATACTTGGAGAGGGTACATGTGTGACACGAGGCAGCACAGTGTCCCTGTCTGAAGTAACCTGTAGCTGTGGCTGGCAGCCCCTCCACTTCAGCGCACGTTGCTTTCTGGAGGGTGGCTGGTGGCCAGGGGACCCACCTTGTGCTTCCAAAGAGGTGTGTGCTTAGGTTTCTGACACAGCTTTGAGATGCAGTCATGATTGTGTGAGAGGACAAGATGTTCGTCCTGATGTAAATATCAGAGTTTCAAAATAACTGTTTCCACAGCATTATACAGCAACAGGGAGGAACTGAGGTGGTCACAGTTGTCAAACTTGGCTCATAAGATGTTAATCTTGAATTTCTGTCTCTTAATTAATAGCCAACAAGCAAATGGGATTTGGAACAACTATGTTAATTTTAGGTTCATTTGAAGTAAAGGAGATGATTTTAAATGATGATTCTGGTAAATGTGATAAGAAAGGTTTATAAAGAGGCAGTTTCATCTAGATTAAGTTTCTAATGCATGGTCAATATGCCAGGGAATTAATCCCTCATCTAAAAATGGAATAATGACGGGGGAAAAAAAAAAACAAACACCCTAGAAACTGGCAACAAGATATTGCTCAAACTTTAGTTAATTCCTGTTGTGTAGTTATTGTCAGTGACTGTGCAAGTTTCTTCATGGACAGAGGTTTTAACAGCTCAAGCTCCTTTTACAATAGTTTCAGAGGAGATGGCAGTGATGTTTGAGGGTTCATTTAATTATTCACTCTTACTGGTGTTTGCACAGGCAGCTGAGATCATAAATGTCAGTCTGTCAGTGTGATGGGTTCTTTATGAAAAGAAAAAAAACCTGAACACCTCAAAAGCTGTCACCAAACCAGAGATTAAACAGGTCATCTCATTCTTGAAGTAAGCAGCAGCAGAGGAGGGCTTCTCTTCCTCTTAATACTCTCTCATCCCTTCCTTCCTTCCGTCTTCCTTCCCTGTTACCTTTTCTCATCCCACATCTCTGCTGGGCTTAGAGCTTCCCACCCTCTCCCCAAAATGCCATTAAAGAGCCATCATGATTGTTAGTGAAGCCATGTGCATACAGCCTGCAAACTTCTCCATGGCAGGAGAGTCAGAGAGTGGGATTCAGCTCTGACAGTCATAACACCATTTATTTGGAAAATTTTGAGGGGAGAACATGAGTAATGAAGACGAGAACAGTGACAGTGAGGAACAAATGTGAGTTTCTGTCCAAGACATAGTAGAATTTTTAAGAACAGTACTTTGCTTGTTGTTCCCAGACAAGCTTCCAGTTTCAGTCTTGCTCAGCTGCATTACTTCATTTTCTCATTTCAAATGGGAGTTTGATATTTGAGTCACCACAATTAGAAGAATCTCCATTATCAGATACAGATTACAAGAATCCTTATTTCTTAAGTCTGAATTTAGGTTGTGATGGGAGATTTTCAATGGCAGTTACTCTGCTGAGCCGTTTCTTTGTAAAATTTTGAGGATGTCTCATCTCTATTGTTTTTCCCCATTTTTACACAAAAGTTTTATGACTTTTGACATCTGCAGGTGAAAGGAAAGCTTTCTTTTCTTTTTTCTCCTCAGACTGGGTATTTGTTGGTTTAGGTGTAATGCTAAAATGCAAGTTGTGTGTGGAAAATGTTTCTTAAAAGCAAAGCAAGAAGTAATTGTTGTTGCACAAACCAAGTCACTGTTGGTCACTGGCTGAAAGAATGCTCTTCTCTGTAGCCATTTTTCATTAATAGTTCACACTGAGAATTTACTCTTGAGTCTAGTTACAGCACTTCACCCTGTTCCTAGGGGTTTTTTTCTGCAATCCAGGTAGTAAAGCTATGCGTGACAATTTCCTTTTGCTATCAGATCTCTGAAGTTTAATGTTGTAATATTCCAGGTGCTGGAAGATTTGTGTCCTGTATTGCTTGTGTCAGTATTGTGGAAGGCAACATGGTCTGGAAGAAATGCATGCAGGGCTGAATCCAAAAGTTCTGATTTCTGATCTGTGCTTTCTCCTTGCTCTTTATACTTGCCCAATGAGAAGATGTAAGCATGTGTACTATTGGTCTGTTTTGTAATGAGTATTAGCTTGGGCTTGCCTGTTCAAGGTGCTGTGCAATCAGTGATCAGATAGCTGGTACTGTCCTTGAGCGTCAGGCCAAGTTTACCTCAGTGTTAACGCTGTTTAATTTATGGCAAAAAGATATGCATTGTAAAAGATGAGATACCTAAATTTTCATTTCTATAATCTTAACCAACTTATGTTAATATTCAGTTAGTTATTACCAATTAACAGGAAATGTATAATTAAAGATTTTAGTTACAGGACTACTAGCCTGACTCGGGGTAGATATTTTTCTCATTAAGACATGTGGCTTCATTAACTGATTAGATACTGGTTGACCCATAAACATGAATCCCTTATTTGGACTTTATTATCAGCAGACCAGTATGGTTTCCATTGGCTTAATTCAGAATGCCAAATTTGCTTCTGAGAACTACCAGAATGGCTTACTCTTCCAGAAGCAAAGATGTGTGGGAGGTAGCTATTTCAAAATAGCCATGTATCTGTTTCTCTGAGTAGTGATTAACTACAAATCATGCAGTTCCCCATCTTTGGCAATAAAGTGGGCTGGAACAGGTTTTTACTGAGTCAGCCAGTTTACAGACATAAGCTGCCTGTTGAAGGGTGCACCCTACTACGTTGAAGGCTAGCCTACTCCTCTAGGCACTCTGAAAACAAGTGTCTGTATGACAGGACTGTTGCCTTGGAGTATGAGTCGGGATCTCTGTTCAGAGAGTTGGGCGGCCTGTTCAGAGGATCTTCCTCTTGGATCATCTTCTGCAGAGATTTAAGACAGGACTAGTTGTTCCATAACTGTATTAATGCATTACGCACTCCTTTCTTTTCCTTGTCAAGACTCCTGCACAGCCAAGCATGCAGAGTTGGAGTACATTACGTACTGAATATTAGTTTAGGCCTAATAGATGTATTTTGTAAGGTGTAAGTTGTAATCTATGACACTGATCAAAAAGAAGGCTATATTGAGGCACACATCAGATAAAATTATTGCAGCTTAATAAAAACTTATCACCTGTATACTGTGCAGAAAGCAGTTCACTTTTGTATGAAATGTGAGATGCAGAGACTTTGTATTTATTGTAAAGCCAGGCACATTTTCAGCATATCTTAAGAGCAGTATGACAGAAATAAAGTAGACCCAAGTGAGGCAAGTTGTGTATTTGTAATGGCTGTAATGTTGGAGTCCAACAAAGGGAGAAACACTGAGACAAGGCCTGAAACATGGGTAAGAAGAGGGTGTTAGTTTATACGGCATGTGAGGAACCAGGGAAAGTTAATAGAGCATACCTGTCGGGAAAGGCTAACAGGTGTTCATAGTCTGACTTCATTAGATATTTGCTCAAGGAAGGTCATGATGTTGATAAGCAGCGGATCAGATAAGATATTGAAATAACAAGGGTATGGACAGTGTTTTAGCCATGGCAGGCAGTTATCTTTTCCTGGCTAATCCAGAACAGTTAACACAAAGTAGACATGTTTTCCATAAGCACAGGACACCATGCAATGGAAACTTAAAATAAAGGTAAAACCATGTTCAATAGGCTATCATCCTGCCAAAAGGATATAGTTCTCTTGTCATTTTTTTGGATTAATGTCCTTTCAAAATGGATTTAACTGAACTAATGCTTTGTTTTTGTCTTGATCACCATCTTGCACTAGAATGCTGACTGACTGCAGTAACGGCTTTCAGCAGTTAGTTTCCTTGCAACACTATTACAGGCAATTTAATTTTTAGTACAGTTTGGATTAAATTTATTTGCAGCTTCTATTAAAAAGAAACACAGAACTGATTCCACTATGCACAGGTCTGGGAAGGGAAAATGTCTTTTCCAGCCTGACCTGACTCAGATTGCAGAGTGGCAGATCTGCTGAAATCCACTACCTCTGACATGCCACAAAAATAAGGCTTGGGCATCCCATGTTCCAGTCAGTAATGTGCATTTCATGTGCTACTGCAAAGCCCTGGTCAGTATACACTCCATTGTAAAAAAACAACAAAAAGACACTACGCTACCTGAAGTAACACTGTCCTGAACTTTAACTTAAGACTTTCCACACACTATTTTCTTTGAAGCTGAAATTTATAAAGTTATTAATGCAAATAGTATTCTGACTAAATTCTTTAAAAATGGCTGAGCACTTTGAATTTATAGCATGCATGTACAGGTTAGGCTTATTCTGTTTGGGTTTGTATTGTTGGTGTATACTAATTTAGATTTAAATTGTTATCCATGTAGAAAGTGAGGGAAGCTTGGTATGGTGCTTTCATGTACCGCCTTCAGTCATAAGAGATAAATTTACACGCTGTGCCTTAAAAATCTCCCTCCTGCCCAGGGAGGAAATAGCTTGAACGTGCGTTCAGCTGGTTTTTGTCAGCAGCCTACTTCAGTTAGTTTGTGCAGGGAGAATGAAGAAGGTGCACAGGAGAAACTAAATGAGATGACAGATGAAGCCTGCAATTGTTTAGGATGGTATGTACTCTACGTGTATATCTATATGACCCAGCCATGGCTGGAAGGAAGCTAATCAGTTCATTTTATATTCAGTATTGCCAGCAGGAGGGGTTCTTCTAGGGAACAAAGATAATTTGTCCTTTACTTGATGCTCATTTTGATTGTTAAGAAAATGTGTATATGCAATAGAATGGGAAGTATCATGCTGCTTGGTAGTGACCCCATCTGAAAGCAATATACCTTCAATCTGCCCAAAGGGATGCCTCAGCAACGAAGTTCTAATATTTTTCCTAAAATACTTGTTGTGAATACAACAGATTCACAGTCGGAGAGTGAGGCTTCTCCTGTGAAGCGGCCACGGCTACTGGATGGCAGTAACGACAGGCCTGAAGAAACCAGTCGATCCAAACAGAAGAGTAGACGCCGATGCTTCCAGTGCCAAACAAAACTGGAGCTAGTACAGCAGGAACTGGGATCATGTCGTTGTGGTGAGTACTGTTTGTCAGTAGTGTCTGGCTTTCCAATGCAGCTGTGCTTAGATCCGTAACACAGGTGGAAATACAGAGAACACTTGCATTTTTTAATCTTTCAAAGATACTTTAAGCAGAAGCTATAGCTTTGACTGGTAGCAAAAAGTTATAATTAGTTCCTGTCTAATTTCCCCTTTAAAACTTCGGCCTTGATGTACTGCCTTGTCTCAAGAGATCTCAAATGTTAATGAATTTAGCTTCCGAAGTCCCTGTAAGGCAGGATAGCATCATACCCACTTGACAGGAGAAGAAACACAAAGAACATCAGTAAATATGCAAAGATGACAAGTTTTTTACAGAGCTTAAAGGAACATAGGTCAGCATCTACGTTACGCATTTTATAATTCCATTATTATTAAAAAGTTAAAACCAAAAAAAACTCTAACTGAAAATGTTTTCATTCTCACAGTTAGCTGCTGGGGGTTAAAACTTGTTGTTCACCATGCACTTAAAATCATCCAACCTGGCTTTTCTGAATTTGATGACACTGTTCAGCTAATTGAATTGAGGATGATAATCTCATGCAGACAGCTAATTTGGGGTTTCATATTACATGCAAATAATCTTTCTGAAGTAATAACTAATGTGACTAGATTCCAGAGGAGATGCTCTCTCCTTCATGGGACAGTGGTGTTCATAACTGGTTTAAATGTGCTCGTCAGACCCAGTGATAATGAACATGGTAGTTTTACCTGCTAATTATTTTTTCATATAATCATATATTGAAAGTTTACACTTGTGCTCTCTGACCATGCTTGTATTGATACATTTGGAGAAGTTTGTTTAGTTACTTCAGTGTGTCTCAGCAGGGGGATAATTTCCAAAGGATTTGCATAGACAATAGGCGCAGTTCATATTGCACCTGTGAAATGTAGAATATTGTATTAAAATATTTCCTGGATGAAGGCATATCCTTCTGAGCAGCAGTGGGGAGAGAAAGGATTGGCTAAGCTAGTTACAAAGGCCCAGTTAATGAATTCTGTATTGAATACCAAATATCAAGTGAAGAGAGGCGATAGAAAGCCACAAGGATTCCATGTTACCCTTTGTTCCTTTCTTCAGCGTCTATCTGTCTTCAGCCTTTAGAGATCACTGTTGTGTTGTGCTCTTTTGGACATGAGACAGGCTTTGTTTCAGATATTGGAGCACTGCCATAGAGCTAACATACGTTATCTGTGAAGCCACCAAACATGAAGTCAAAAGCTGTAATGTTGAAATTCTTGTTACAGAAATCATGTGTCTGGATACTTTCAGTAAGATTTATATCAAACCGAACAAGTGCAGCGCTATCAATGACACAGTTTGTTATGGCTCTTTCTGCTCAGCACGGCAGGAGTTCCTGCTCTTGGTCTGCTGCTGTCACATATCAAATGACTGAGGCTGCTCACAGGTACCTGACTGAAATAGAAGAATCTTCCCTAATATTGGGAGGATGAGAGTTTTACAAGTTGAGGGAGAATTGGAAAAAAGATGACTTAGTGATTATGTGATATCATTAATCTTTCCTGCATTCTGCAAAATTGGAGCTATGTAAGGGCAATGAACTCAAAAGCAACTTCTTAAAAGTCCTTCTGTTGATTAGTAATGTTTTTAAAATTATAAAATAAGACATGCCTTCTTTTTTTTCCTTAAACTGGATGACAAATATATCTAGTTGGTTCCTCTCAAGCTTTCTTGACGTAGTTCCATAATTCAACATTGTCGCAATATAAGCATTACATGAATTATTCTTTAAATTGTTTCTACTGGATATATCCGGCTTTATGGAAATACTTCTGTTAAACTTCATAAAATGTGTTAATAAAAACGTGAATATGAAACAAAAAATTCCGAGTTCCTCAGCAATAAGTGAGGAAATGAAAATTTGCATTCCTACATTACATATTATATCCTGTATAGTTTAAAGGACGTATAATAAACTTTTCTATTCCACACATTTAATGAGAGGAGTGGGAGGCAGGAGTCTACTTCCATGTTTACAACACGGCTGAAAAGACTGGAGATCTTTGGTTTATCTGTGCAGCTATAATACTTCATTAATACTGTATTCAGTACATGTGTTATCTATAATGAAATGCTGTTGTTATGTGAAAGTAGGCATAGCCTGCACTACTTACTTTTGATAGTAATATTAATAAGAAGCAAACAAAATTCTGCCACTGAGCAACATGGATCGTCTCAGCTTCACATCACCTGAACTGCTTTACCAATACTCATCAGCATGTAGCTTTTGTCACTTTCCAAGAAGCTGCCTTAGAAACCATTCTCACTAACTTTGCTCTACTATCTGTAAAATTAGGTTGCTTTAGGTCATGAATGACAAGCCAGATAAAAAACCCTGGGGAGTGAGTGATGGGAAATGGAACAGAGTGAATATGTTAAAAATCTCATTCATTTAAAATGTTTTCTAAATCCATATGTGATCAGGTTATCCTTTTTGTCATAATGTGAAGCACAGGTAGTGATGCATGTTTAACTGGAAGTGTTGGAAATATAATCAACTGGTGTAAAGTAAGCATGTATATTCTTTAAAAGTAATGGTCAAGGTAGAACATTGTTTGATCTGGACTTTGGACCACTGCTATTAAACTCATTGGCATCTTAATTCTTAACTGAAGCAATGGGAAAAAAATGTGGGAAAAAACTCAACTTTAAACATTAAAGAAATTCTGATGGTCAGAATCAATAAAAAGGCAGACAGGATCTTTAGAAGGACAAATGCATATGTTTGCATGGATGCAAGGAAAAAGGATTAGCCACATAAATACTACGTTGTTCTAAAGCTGTGTTTAACACTACTGTTAAAATCCAAATTAACTCTTTAAGACTCCACAGAACAGCAATTTTACTGTTTGCTCTTACACATCATCTTGTATTAATGTTAAAAGTATTGGAAATCATCTCCTCTTTTGCTGATGTGTCCTGGCGACTCTTCCGGTGAGATTTTTAGTGAGACATAGTGGAAAGAAAAATCTATACATACTGGACAATGTTTTAATATAGACATACCTGCAGATATTAATCCATCATAACTGGGACTTGTCCAATGGGACACAACTTTTTTAAAAAGGGACAGAGAAAGTGGGCTGCTGCTTTACACCTAAGTAAGGCTTTATACCAAATTCTGAGATCTTTGGGAAACTGCTGCATTGGCTCTACTGTCTCCTCTAAGACCTACCCAGAGAAAGGTGATGCTGCTGAGCTTGTTCCCTTGACACTACATGGAATTTTAGATGGATGTGACAGTGCTGCAGGGCTTTGCCCTGAAGAAAAACAATTCACTACTGAGAAGGGAGTTCCAGTAAGGGTTCTTCAAATTCAAACACAACATTTTTCAGCTGTAGGAAGATTTGTTTATTTTCATACACACATACTCTCAAGATCTTTTTTCATTCTGTTTCCGTTCTGTACAAGTTATTAACTGCTGACAAGAAATTCGCATCTCATAAATAATGCTTAAGAACCATTGCTATATAAATTGAATGTGTTATGAATTGTGATGGGCCTTTTTGTAGTGTTCTGTGCCTGGAGCAGGAAGAACAGAGGATGTCATTTTCATTAATTTCTAATGAGGTGCCAATTAAAGGCAAGGAAGGAACTCAGAAGGGAAGAGTCACAGAGCTCCCCTGAATCCTGTACCCTGGGGCTGTCAAACGAGCGCGCTGCCAAGCCTCCTCTGAAAGTTCCAGTAAATTACAAACTCATCCAGAGCACACACAGACAAATTCGGCTTCCCTTTGATCTTCAAAAGAGCAATTTGTAAGACGAGTTCTGAGCCTTTTCACAGAGCGAACTGGGGGAAGTGATAGGAGTTGTTAATTGCTGATGCACTTCACAAGCTTCAGTGAGAAAGAGAAGTTTTAAAATGCATTCTCATTTTGTGCCTCTCTGACTGGATAACCTTTAAATCAACACTACTTGAACAAAACCAGCTTCCTGTGAAACATTTCTAGATGACAGTTACACTAGGCATGTTTTCCAGACAGCAATGTTCTCTAGATTTGGGTGGGCCTTTAATACTTTAGAGTCTTATGATGGATAATGATTGTATTGAAATAATGTATTTATTTAATATTAGGTTTAGTAAGCAGTTAAATCATCAGGAATTACAGGAATCGTTTTCTTCAAGTTACATTCTATTGTAGCATTTCTGCTGGAAGTGTAAGCAGTCCGAAATCAATCGCCAATGATCCTTGATCTGAAAATTAAGTTGTCAGTTCAGTGATGTGATATGCAAGTGGTTATCACAAACTTGCTTTAAAACTAGGGGCAGCAAATTTGTGAGTGAAAGTAGCTATATAACACAGAGTTCTGGAAATGTATTTTGGAAAAAGGCAGTTTGATTATTTGCAAATTACACTACAAATATATGGGTCTTGTCTTAATTACTTGACTAGAGATATATCGCTACTAAATAGAGTTGTGTATGTTTTTAAAAGATACCGAGCTGTAAACTTCTAAGTCATAGAAATTATTTGCACAGAAAGCTTAGCTTAATTTTATGGCAGAGGCTTAGAATTTTACAGCAAAAAGTAGTTCTGGTGTCACTTGCTGCATAAAGCCAACACACAGAAGTCTGCGGTGGTCTTTAGTATTGTTGGAATTGTGCAAGATGTACGAGGATATTCTAGATGATCAGTAAAGGACTTTCACCTCTGTCATGTTAGATCCAGTCCTAGTCAGCAATTAAAGAAGAATTAGTACAGTGTACTAGCTCTTCAGCAGCTTTTGTGTAGAATGGTTTGCTATTTGTAGGCCACATCCTAGCGGACACGTCTGCAGCTCAGGCTCCACCTAGCCAGAACTCTGGGGAGTTAATAGGGTGGCCAAGACAATGAGCCCTGGAAAGTAAGCTTGTCTTTAGATTCCAGCTGCAGTGCCTTAGAGAGATGTTGCTGATTTGTTTGTGTAGTTCTCAGATAGGAATCTCAAATTTTTTGTGTTCTTTAGCCAGAGTA